CTGGAGGATTCCATGAGGCGAAGAGTTAGGTCTAAATTCCAATCCATTGTGCATGAAAAAACACTTTTGGGATATATAGTACAATCAAATCCATTGGTAAAAGCAAATAATGCGTCTGCTTTCCCGCAGTCAGCTCATTGCCCAGGCATTGTAATACCATGTATCAGATGAGAATTCTTCGACATGACCACCAGGTGACAGCTAACAAAAGACTGATTTTTTTGGTCAGAAGAAACCCGTTAGATGAAAAAGAAACAACTCTGCCTAGAAAGAAGTAATGCTTTGCTACGCTGACCGGCACTCATGGCTGCAGCATGCGGAGAGTCGAGAGTTAATGCTCTATTGGATATTTTGTGAAAGGATTTAGGCAAAATGTAAACTAAGGCATAGTCTTGAGAAGAGATTCGAGAAAAGTTTAAGAATATGATATAAGACAGCTGTGTAGATATGCGCCCTTACTTAGAAATACTTCTGTCTAGTGGAACTTGACAAAAAATGCAATGGTTAGTGTGCAAGTTTACACCTTCTTAAGCTGATTTTGTCAATCTCTGTGCCTACTTCCCAATGTCTTAAGTGCAGAAATAGCCTTTTTAACAAAAACCTTTCGAAAGAATATGGTTTACAGTGAAGTAAGCAACGAAGCTTTGAGATGAAGAGTGACTAGCACAGAAGATGAGAAAAAAGTGGAGAGTTGTATAGAATAAGTTGAAAGAAAGAGTTGAGTTCAAGTCAGACTGCTGCTAAATTTTATGCCGAGTGGTGAAAAGACAATTTAATCGCCATCAAATCGGCTTAAATTCACTGTACTAATGACATATTTCCCGCATATAATGTGCGAACTTTAGTGGCGTCTGTTTGCCTTATAACAATTCATCATGTCGTAGGACCGAAGCAACAGCTTTGTTGGCCAAGTTTAGAAGAGGATAGACATGTAGATAGAAGGAGAGAGGGCAGATTATAGGCCAGAAATGCAACTGGTAAATGAAAAAGTAAGGACTGCACTTACTCTTCATTGCAATTTTCTCCGCTTTGACGACCTTGATCAGAAGCTTTCGACAAGCCAGACTGTAGGCCTGGCGCTCCTGCAATGGTGACACATCGGCCGCAGGTCGGCGTGGTTTGGTAGACCGATGAGCAATGACCGCCGCCGAGGATAGAGAAGGCCTCGAGATCACAGGGCCCACTTTATCCTCGCCCAGAATTAAGTCGCCAGGAGAACAGATATCTTTGAGGTGAAGAAAGAAAAAGAAACTAAAATAAAAGAGGCCAACAGCTCAAGTATGAAAACAGTGCAAGTAGATTAATCTCACCTACCAGCAATCCAACCAGCGAGCGAATGGCAGATTAGATTAGCTTAACAGCATACCCATTAAGAGGACAGAAAGAAGCGCTTCTATCAGCCCCCCATCCATCTGAATAGTAAAGTATTTATTCCCTTGACTAAAAATACCATACCGGTCTACCTCGGCCCCAAAAAAGACGTCTTCCGCCTAAAATGGTTTCCTTTAATCAAATAGTAATTTGAAGGGTTCCGCAATTTGATCGTGTTGTCATAGCGACCTAGTTGGACGCACCTTATCCGAAGTCCTCTGCTGCAGTAGTCATGATAATTTCCAGCGTTATACCGTGAACGTGGTACAATGCCAAACATTTCGCTGGCATCGCCAGTGAACCTTGCCATTCTCGATCACAATCTCAGCTACAATTCGTCAAATAGACAAGTGAAGTCCATCCCTTGACCAACTTTCTGCTTGACAAATCTATCCAATCACAACTTCCGGGCGGAAATGAGAAAAGAGCGTGGGAAGTAGGTGCATGTACCAGGACAGGAGGGATAACAAACCGTTAGACAGAAATATGAGATGTATTCACCCTATTTGGTTTAAGGTGATAAACGACTGGTATTAGAATTTTCCCACAATGATATGAGTAGAGCTGACGTTTCTATTGAATTTCACAGAGCCTTGCTTTCCCAAAGGTTGTTCTCCTCCAAGCAGATGTGGACTACCGTTTCGACCTCGAATAGGTCTTATCAACACCTCCAGCGAGAGTCGAACCGTGACAGTGCAGAATGTGAGCTTGACACGTTAACCACTCGGCCACATTGCAACGAGTGCCCTTGGGTCAAAGGGCAGATGTGAATTTCAAGGAAGGCCAGGCCTTTTGTCATATCACATTCTTTGGTGGGATTGTCGATGAAGCAAACGTATATTTGCTATTAAAATCGACTAAGCTACTGAGTTTTCATATGATTTTTTGTATGCTTTTTCATCAGACAAAAGTTGGTCAAGGGAAAGATTTCACTTGTATCTTTAATGAGTACTAACTTGATATTGAAAATGGCAAGACTAAATGACGATGTCGACGAAATACAGTCCGATTATGGGAATTGTCATGACTACTGGAGCAGAGAAATTAGGAAAACTTGGTCACTCCGACAACATTACCAAGTTGGGAAAACGAAGTCAAACTTCCTCTATACCTCGAAATGTGGCTGCGACCGAAAGAGAGGCCATA